TTGATGTACAACAGTAACAAAAGACAGACATCCCAGACCGACTGTGACACAGACTTCATTGTTCAAACTAAAGCAAACACATACTTGAGCACCACAAACTGTATTGACTGTGACCTTTTCTTTCTTCCCACAGAAACTCACAAGCGAAGAAAATCTCTGCGCAGGAAGTTTGACTCCTTTTCAAAGGAAAAGAAAGAGCGAGGTGAGTTCAAACCATAGAAGTGGGTAAACACGATCCCGTCTGCGGCTATAAACTGTGAATGTGTTTCCCCACAGGCTGTTACCCTAAATATTATCATCAAACACAATGTCCCTTCTGTCCGCTGAAGCTACATAACCACATACACCACTGGAGTCCAGTGGCTTTTACCACCACTAACCACTAATGGCCACACATACTTGAAACACTGTTTAAAAAGAACAAGTGGATCAGGAATGAACTCTAAATCCTGGAAGTTTCACTTAGCTGGTGCTTCATTGTTTTTATAACCGCAAGTGAATAATGAATGAACAAACTGCAAGTTTAACTTCTTTAGTAGAGCTATAAGTATCATCTACAATATGTTTGGGATTTTTTTTGTAACAAATGATTACATTTAAACCAAAAACACAAAGAAACTAACAAAGTCAGACTAACAAAATGAAGAACCCCATTTGCACACATTATTTTTTATAATTGTGTTTTTCTGGGTACAAACAAAGTGGAAAAAGGATTTGAATCTGGAACTTTTGGATATAATGGATTGGTTTTTGGATCTTTGATCTACATTTGTGGCATGTGTGCTTCCTCACACCCCTCTTTTGGAGTATTTAGTTAAGTCCATGAAAGCCTGCTCTTTTGAGTCTGAGTCCACATGGCCTTCGGTGTGAAGTAGTATGAAATCTGATTATTTTTGCCGGATCAGATATTATCCAGTTCTAAACGTGATTTCCATTCTCAGCAGAAATGGAGGAAGGTTTCATATTTCTTCAAGCCTTTGAATTTTCTGAGGGGACCCGTGACTTTCTGCTTTGATTTCCTCCACATTTCTTTTGAACTGCCACCTCGCCATTGTGGTTAAAAAGAGTAAAAGATATACAGAGTCTCATCTCTGCAGATCAAATAATACTTTTAATTTCCTGGGGCTATGGTGCTGGCAATCTTTTTGTTAAGCAATGCGATAACAACACTTTCTCCAAGTCAAAGCGTTTGCTGTGTTGGATGAGACGCTTGTATTTTTAACATGCTGCTCTGTTGTTTTTCTTGTAGACTCAAGCCCCCTATTTGGTCATCATTCTCTGCCTCTACTTTTTATTGGCGCTATTCATGCGTAGCACATCATTCGACTGAGATTTTAAAAATTACAGTGCACACTACAGCCTTGGAAACAAAACATTGAAGAGCTTATGGAATAATCACACAGAGACCTACTAAGGTTTAGACCATTAAGGACTTTTTCATAGCCAGTAATCCAAACCAATCAACATGGTAATGACTAACCTTATGTTGCAGATGGGCTCATCTCAGATGTACGAAAAAGTCCATTTTTGGTGTCTCCTCCCTGTTATATGATGGCGTTTGAATGTGCCAATCAAGGACCCTCAGCGTTTACGTTTATTGAAGACAATTTAACCTTCATCCTACCCAGTGCTCATGTTTTTATATTAGTGTTGTCAGTGTTAATCTCGTTAAAATGACGTTAACGCCATAACTGCATTAACTTGGCAAACCTCGGTTAGCGAGTTATGGCGGATCGTCCCACGCACGGGGCAATCCGCCATAACTCGCTAACGGCGGTTTGCCGCGTTAGTTTATATTAGCAATAGTTTATATTAGTCTAACCAAAGCTCTCCTACTAACCAACTATAACCCAACTTCACTAACCCTCCAAACATCACTGATATTTGGTTTTCCATCATCATTTACTTCCAGATTTATAGCAATTTATAGCAAAGTTCTAGCTAGCTAGCTGGCTTCCTGTCAAGGCCTCAGTCACACAAACCCAGAAACCAATCAGCGATCATCTTATAACCTCAAATAGGTGGCATAAATAGGTGTGCATTCCCCAACTAGTTAGCAAGTGATTGCTGGCTTTTTGCTGTTTGCGATCAATTTCACACTAGCAACTGCCAGCAACCACTACATAATTTCCTCTGGTAACCAGCAGTTGCTGGGGGGGATGGTGACTGGCATTAAGGCCTGTGTTAATAGCACCTAGGGAATACATAATCCCAGAGGAATACACACTTTTTGCTTAACGACCAGTGGTTGCCAGATGTTCACCAACTGGTCCTTAGACCTGGACCATGTTACTGGGACCAAACTTCTAGCCCCTCTAAACATCATAGATCCTTTTTTTTAAGGATGACTAGATGTTAAAGTTTATTGTCACATCTGGGAGCCACATTAATCTTTTTATTGGAGCTGAAAGAATTTGGACTGTTTTTAACTCTTAATGGTGTTTCACTGTTTGTGTTTATGGAAACTGAAGCAACTTTTTAGACCCTGAAATTACCAATAAAATCAGACTAGAGAAGCAGATAGTTTGCTTGTTGAACAAAACAAATTTGAGGCTTTTTGTACTTCTCTGTATTGATTTTTTCATTTCATCTTCTCTTTGGCTTTCTTTGATTTGCTCCTGACCTTTTTTTCCCTTCTTCTTGTGTTTTTTTTCCTTCTCCACTTCTTCTTTCATCTTCCTGCTCTAACCCATGTGACAAATCAGATGTTAGCGTGACCTCTCAGAAAAAGATGTTCTCTTTTCTCAGGTGATTATCGCAGCAGGGCGAGATACGAGCCAAAATGCCCAACACTACACAGCACATGCATTGACTGGCTGTCTACGCAGCTCTTTAAAGCCTGCCTCCAGCCTTGTACACACAGTGACTTAGCTCTAGTTAACCCTGCTAATGAAAACACAGAACATTGGGACCTGGCAGCTTTCCTGCTGGCTCTGCTCCTCTACTACTAAAGGCAGGACTGCGTCAAGTAACGGATTACAGAGTGACAATTGTGATCTGCTTGGCATTCGTGTATGGTTGATCATAATGCAGTGAACCAGTAGTTTCTATGTAATTTTCCCAAGCAATAGTTTAAACTGTTGATTCCTAGGAAAATACTTTACAGAGGACAGCCTGTGTTTTTAAAGTCTAATGCTCCAGGAGGTTGGATATTATCACCCAGCTGTTCCTCTGCTAAATATATCCACTCTGTTTTTTTAAGTAACAGATGTTGACCCGAGTACCAGACGTATTTAGGGAGAAAAGAAAATAAATTCCTGAACTGTAACACTTTGACACAAGCATCTCCCTTCCTGGCAGATTTTTTTTTAATCAACAATTCAGCACATATTAAGACACATTATAAAAAGAGATATTTTGGTTGTAGTTAGTGCAGTGTTTTAAATGATTCTAATTCAGTCTTCTGCTTTGGTGATGGTGGTGTATTTGCTGGGTTTCTATCTATAACTTGAAATTACTCTAATTTTGTTGCTGTTTTTATTTAAGTGAAAGCACACTTGTGCATTGTGTGTAACTGAAATCTGCTGGGCTGATCTGACAGAGTTAATTAAAAAAAAAAAACTTAATTAAATCATGTGTTCTAGTTGACATAATACAATTATAATTAAGTTGTTCTAACAGTTCTGTTTTTGGTGAAGATTCCTCTGTATTCATATTTTGTTTTTCAGCTCTTAACGTTTATTTAACCAGGAGATGGGACTCTTGAGATTTAATATTTTTAAATTTGTGGAGGGATGGAGTGGAGCCAGTAGTCAGTCCAAGATTCTTGCACAAGATCAGCCCAGTTCAGCAACAGTTCAGTCTATATCTTGTAGGTTTATCACTGATATGTTTCTTATTTGCCTCCTCAGTAAAATCAAGGACTCAGTGAACATCTGCTGAGCTTCTGTCTACTCCCTTCTTTTCTTGCTTTCTCTCAGCATCGGACTCGTCTTTACTCACTAGTGTTAACAGTCTGGAAAACCATAGCAGAATTACTATAATGCAAATAGCTAGAGAATTATAGACTTGAAAACTCAAATTTCTTATTTCATATTATTTACATCTGTGTGACTTCAAATATATAACATTACTAGTTAATGAGCCTTGAGCCTTTATGAAAGAAAACATGTAGATACTTTTCCCCTCTTCTAAACGCTCGAACCTCTTCTAAACGTCTTGCTAATCTGGCTGCCCTTCTGTGAGAAGCAACACTTCCCTGCTGCCACAGATAGCTATTAAATCATCAAGTGTTTACTTTAAACAAGCAAACGCTTCCAGTGCAAGCTGCTAACCCCATCACGGTTGGCTTGTGATGCCAGCAAACATGGCCAAATGTCAGGAGTGACTGTACCTCCAAGCAGACGTCAGGACTCAGGACCGAAGAGTAAGCCCCGGCTTACAGATCAAATACAGCGTAAGGCACATCATCAAAAGGTGACATCTTTTCAGTGGATAAAGCCCGTTCCTGTTGACACGCAATGTTGTGTTTCTTTGTGTAGTGTGTTTTCAGAGAAAATCAGTTTCAACTCAGTGTGTCATAAAATAAGAGGTAAATATGATCATTACTGTTACCATTGCATGCTGCATCATCAAATTATACATGCTTACAAAGCGCTGAAGATTTTAAAAAGTTCCCGAGTCGAACTGTCTGTCAGACCTTGCCATATGTTGGGGTTTATGTTTTACTTCTTTTGGGGGCAACTGTTTACCATCAGCACTTTAAAAATAAGTACTTTGGTGTAATCTTAATTGAGATTTTAGACTCTTAACTAGTTTGACTATAAAAATATTTGTATGACTGATCCAGGAAAAGTCTTTGAATGAGTGAATGATTTGGATTTTTCATGTTCTTTACCAACAATAAACTATTTTAAATTATACCGTACTTACCCAGTTTTAAAGAGTAAAGATCTCCTTTTTATTTAGTGCCTGGAGGAGAAGAGGCTGTACAAACTGCAGAGTGAATCCTTCACGTAGTAAACAGCTAGCATCTAGTGTTGCCAAGAAACAGCCGATAAGATTTTTCAGCCTAATTTTATCATGTTTATTAGCTGGAATGGGTTAATATCTGTTTAGCAACCAAAAACAAGTTAGAGTTTAAGTGAATGGTGACCTGCTGTGTAAACAGCTGTGTAATACTTCACAATCTGTTGCGCTAATTACCTTGTAGCTCTGCTCTAGCTTGCACATGTGGCCACAAACTAATAATAGCTGGCAGCT